AAAACCAAAATTAATATTAGTATACAATTACAGTTGAAACCAAACCTAACAAAAAAAAAAACTCACTCATTTTTTTGGCAACTGACTCTAAGTGCACATCTTTGCCGCTTTTAGCTTCTTCACCCATAGCACTAAGAAATCTGCAACAGATCAAGTAAAAAATCTTCCCAGTGCTGCTGCAGAACTACTACACCAAAAATAAACAGCACCCTAGACCATCTAAAATGACCAACTTTTTGCACAATAAGCCTAGAGATTTCTCCTTTCTGGATGCTCCTTCACCATCTTCGCTTTCATTATCCTCTGTTGCTGACCCACCCATGCTCTGCTTACGGCTCAACTTGATGAGAGAAGAATTTCTGCTTAGTGTTGGGCGCGCAAAGGACGAGCAAGACGCTTGTGATGAGACCGAAAGATCCATAACTAAACATCTTTTTTGTTGTAACCAAAGATGGCTGGTCTGCTGCTAAGAAAACATCTTAGTTCTTCGAAAAATATCGCAACAAGTCAATCATTTGCCTGAGTTTACAGTTGAAGAACAATCTTCTTCCGTAGAAACACCTTGAGATGAACTACATGCACTAATATTAGTACCCTGTGAAAGTCTAGAATTCTCATCGTTTGAAATCACATCAATCTGCAATTTAGGCACTGGTTCAAATATTCCAAAGCGTTAACAGAGAAATAAACTTGAAAAAGTTTTAAAATAAAAAGAATGTAAACCTCCTCATCCTCTTCCAACTCGTGTGCATCCTTTCGATTACTCCTCTCCAGCCGTCTGGCAATTATCTGATACATCACTAAAAAAAGAGTAAAGTGGGACCCAGTGTTTTCAAATCAGCTTAATTTGTGCTAATTCAGCATTACTCGCTCCCTACTAACACTTCGCAAAAACTACTAAATAAACAAAAGAAAAAGGAATCAAATAAATAAATGCAAATGATAAAATAACAGTGTGACATAATAAAATGAGTTACAAATTAGATCCTGAGTCAATGATAATGAAGCAGTCGACATGCGCTTCAAAAACGCAAGATGAAAAGGCCTATTAATTTAATAAAAGCTTCATCCGTGCACACTCCTTTGGAAAAGAAACACTTTCAATGTCAGATTGATTTAAGCAACAAGCAGGAAGCATAAGACGGTAAAAGACTTCAAAAGTGTAAGAAGAACGAGAGCAAAAGGAGATGTAATATCAAAACTGCATTAAAACTTAGCTCTACATTTAAAGCTTTTCTAAAGCTTTGCTACTCATTAGGCCGCTCAGGTAGCTGCGGATGCTTAGGTGCAATTAAAAACACATTTCTGTGGACTGATGGTTAATTGATAAAACCAACAGTAAGCTGAATCTGTTTGAGGGCTTCATAGAAGCACATAAATACAGCTTATTTAATTAAAACACTAATAATCAACTGAATTTCGAAGGAGAAAAAAATTATCATGCAGAAGAAGTGCTTCACAATAATGGCCTGAAAACTAAAATCCAGGCTCGCTGAAAGCAGTTCTAAAGCAGAGCGAAAAAATTCAAAAGATCTTTTCAAAAAAAGACTATCAGTGAGTCTTTTAAAAAAAACTTTGAAAAAAAGGCCTAATTTTGAACAGAAAAAGACAATTGGGTGAGTAAAACAATTGGAAAAAAATGTGAGCAGAAAAAAAAACACTGCTCGTAACCACAGAAAGAAATGCAAACATATGGAAACCGGACATGTATCAACTACTGTGGTCATTCACCTCCCCCAAAACGGTCATCTACACCTTATCAAAGAGACAACGATTGACCAGCAGGACAGAACAATACTAAAGCATCAAATCTGGGCAGTGAATGAAACTTCTCGCGCCTCAAATATTTTATCAGCAAAAGCAAATGGTAGAATTCGCCAATGACTGATGGGAATATGCCAATACAGACCACCCTCATCAAAAAACTAAAGCTCCACTTTGAACTGTAGCAAAACGCTAAGCATTCACTAGCATTTAATGAACTCTGTGATAATTAAGAGCAGTGTCCACGCAGCAACAATTTTTTGACGACCGTACTTTATTGCAGACTAATGAATTACAGAAAATAAACAGCTCTCATCCATCATCCATTCATCCTAAGCTACTCGTTCACTAACCTACAAACAGCCATCAACTGTCACTGAATGTCAATAGGAACATGCACGACCACACATCTCCCACTGCTCCACCGTTCCCCCACAGCGGTTGTTCGACTACTTTTTGGGTTGTACTTGCGCGAAATAAACGTAACTAGCCCCACCCTCTGTTCCGCCTCGCGCGCAATTTTTCTTCCCCACTTCACTTGGAACCAGTATCAGGCAGGTAACTCTACTGAACAGGGACGCAGAGGAAAGCGGGACCGGTTAGGAACCGATTGAGCGGGAGAATACTGGAGGCAACGGATACAGAGAGACAGTGGCAGCAGGGGCGTCACCTTCAGCAGCGTCAGTTGCCTTAATAGCAGCCCCAAAATTGTTAGCAATAGCGGCAGCGTCAACGGCAGCAACACAGCAACAAGAGTAGGAGCACCATCATCATCGTCAGCAACGGCAGCAGAGCAATTGCAAGCATGAATGGCCGCTGTCTCCCCTCGGACCACGCTAATTTTCGCGCCTAAACAGACAGCTATATACTGTAATACGCCTTTCATGGGTTTTT